TAGGGTGTAGGGTTTAGGGTTTAGGGTGTATATGGTTTGGCGTTTAACCCAGTTTGGAAGCAAGTTTGGCACTTCATGGCCCCTTGTCGCAACCCCTTCAGCGGCCCAGTCGACTCGACGAGCCGGTGCCAAAGAGCGACGACTGGGGGCAAAGCCCCTTGTTCCTCGGCCGTGTGGCAGTCGGGTTTGGTTTCGGCTGGGGGATTGACAGAAGTGTCGCTAGATGTCTTTGGTGTTCGCAATCAGACCGACTCGGGTCGGGTGCTTCTCAATGGGTAGGGTGCTGCGCTGGGCTCCTCTGAGTCGTCGTGCAGTGATTGGAGTATTTGAATCTGGCACTTGGCTTCTGAAGGGAGGTGCAGCCTGAACCCTAAACCCTAAAGTTTGTATGACCTTCCCCCAAATCTAGTCGCATAAACAGACGTTACAGCAACCCCAAGCTCCCGTTTGCTAGACCACCAGGTGAGTAGTTTTTGTAACAATGGTGATGTACCAGCAAGACTGACAATCGCCATCGTGATTCTAATCATCGTCATCACAAGGGTTGCACTTGTACCAGTAGCAAGAAGAATGGCAATGCCCTACACCCTGAATGCGTGGATCCGGCCGAGGTTCTATGCGGCTAGAGAGGGCCACACCCAGCGACCTGGATGAGTCCTTGGGGTGCTCCGATTGTCAGAAGAATTAGGCTGAGGGCTCTGTTCTGCGATGCTCGAAGTGGTGGTTTTGTCGAGGAGAGAAACTTGAGTGAATGCTGAATGCTCGGTGCTCTTGCAGAGAGGTAGCTGCAGGAAGCTCAGCTGAGGCTCTGCAAGCACCTCGTGGAGAACTGTGCCGCGAGTGTTAACCAGGTAGACAGCTGGGGCGAGACGGCGCTTTTCTACGCCATGAAGTGGCAGCGGCTTGAGACGGCCATCTACCTCCTGCAGTCCGGCGCGTCCATGGGAATAGTGAACAAAAGGAGGCAGTCGGCCGAAGGACTCGCGACCGTCGAGCTGGCACGCGAGCTGCATTCACGAATGCAGGAGTGGGCCGAGCCGCCCACGAGGAAGCGCAAGCGCACCGAGGAGGAGGGGGAGGAGGAGGACGGCGGTGCCGCGGAAGGTCCCCTGGCACTGGAAGAGTGGGCCACGAGACCCGGCAAAATGCCGAAAATGGCCCAGGCGGACTCCGACGACCATGAGGAGAGCACAGGAACGCCGGAGCAGGAGGTTGTGGCGGAGAATGACAGCCACCGTGTGACGCTCGTCAGCGCAGACGCCCTGGAGGAGGTGAGGGATCTGCAGAAAATGCTGGTGGCCTACCAGGCGAAACTCTTCCAGGGGCGCCTGTTCGTGCAGAGCTGCAGAGCACTGGACTTCTGCACGGCCTTCGGCGGGGCCAAGGAGAAGGACAGCGAGTTCTTCGAGGAGTACTCCGCCATCGTGGAGGATGGTGGCCTCGGCAAGACCGCATCCCTGGTTCTGGTTGCTCGCGAGAAGGAGAGCGGCCGCGTGGTCGGCTACTGCCGCGCGGACCACGGCGATGAGGAGCTGCGCATTGCCCAGCTCAAGGCGCAGGGGGCCTTCGGGGTCTCGGCGGATCTTCTCAGCTTTGAGGTGTTGTTGCTGTCTGAGCCTCTGCTCACTCTACTCCCTGCTGCGCCAGAGGTGCACAGCGACCACCAGAGAAAAGGCGTAGGCAAGCTGCTGATTCAGGCGGCGGAGACCCAGGCCGGGAAAGGGCAGATGGTGACTTTAAAGGTTAGGGGGGGCTCTAGCGGTTTCGGTTTGTAGGAAGTCGAGGGCAGAGTCTCGGGCTGTCCAAGACCAAGATTCAGGGTTTGGGGTTTGGTTCTCTCTGTGCCTTTTTGTTGGGGCTTGGGCTTCTTGCGGCTCTCTGCTTGAAAGGTTCCATGTCGGGGCCTGAATCGTCACCAATGCTGCTCCAAAATGTCCCAGAAGACAATGTACACACTGTTATTGTTTTGCTTATATTACCCCAGCACCCGTCTTATTTAATCCCGCTCTGTTTCATAAGGCCCCTGTGCGAAGCCCCTGAAAGGCATCCTCTTCTGGGTATTTTGGCTCTTGTGTTAACTCCATTTCGTTTGGGCATTTCAGGACTCAAGTCCATGGCCTCCGCTTTGCTGTTCTGCTCTGGAGACGGCGATGTCGAGTTTCCGGCTTATGGTTAAAGAAAACTTCCAGTATCTTCAGGTAATTTTTCCAGAATCCTGCTCCTTCTTACAACTATGCTATAAAGGATCCCAAGACCAATATTTTGGCTCCTAGATTAGGCGAGATTCGACCCGCTCAGACCGTGGTAGCGTTGGCGAGACTCGAGTCTAGGAATTTTCGGGTTTCGCAGGTTTGATAAGAACTAAAGTGGGCAATGTATAGCACGTATTTGGCCTGATGCTTCAGTTGCTTCAAGAGTGGTGAATTTAGCGGCTTCGGTGTTTAGGGTCCGAGGGTTTAGTCATCTGGCTCCCTTTCGGGCTTTGGAGCAACTAGCGGTTTCACGGGATTCGGAGTTGGCGCTTGGCCGGCGGTCCACGCAATTCGAGCATAGGAGCATTGGCATCAGACGCGGGGCCCACTCCGTGGGGGTTACAGACGCCATGCAAACTGCGCCGGCCTTCTAAAACACAACTGCGAACATGAGCTGCAGTCATCATCACCGTCATCCAGGTCAACAACATCACTGTCTTCCTTACCCTACACGGAATTGACACTCAAAAGAAGGACACGCTCAGCACCAACGTTACCTTCACTATGCTTGTCATATCTACGAATCTACGATGCAACGCGATTCCTAAGCCCTAAACCCTCAACCCTCTGGGGGCTGATGAGAAGCCATTAATATCCATTAATTAGGGTTTACGGTTTAGGGACGCTGATGAGAAGCCATTAATTAGATGAGACTGGTAGTGCGTGTCGAGGCCCTGCGTGCGGAATGGGCGTTTGAGTCCGTGACCGCGCGCGCGTGCTGCACTTGAACTCGCGAGCGCAGCAGATCTTCTTCAGATGCTCGGCCGGATCTTCAGAGCAGGGGCAAGAGAGGGGGCTAAATGGTAATTGTTTCACATAAAAACCAATACCATTTTTGGGGGCTCCTCGTTTTTGTGGAACACTCATTTACCCAGTCTACAACTCTCTCTCTCTCGTCCTTTTCTCTTTCTCAGCCTCTGCTACCATGCCTCCCTCTCTTGTTTTTGTTCCTCTGTCTCCCTCGCTCCCTCGCCTCTCCCCACCTCCCTATCCTTCTCTCAATCTCTACATGCCCGTTGTGTGTTGATGTGCAGCTCTGCGCTCTGTTGGGGGATCCGTTGGGCGGGCTCAGGCTTGGGTTTCGACATTCGCGATGAGCCAGCCCCAGATCCGACCATGAGCATGCTGTCCATGCGCCCTGGCAAAAGCAGCGAAGTTCGGACCGGCTTGGGGTTTTTAGGGGTTTAGGGTTTAGGGGGTTGCTCCACGTGCTCTCCGGCTCCCTGTAAGTGATCCCACCGACAATATTTTTTTTGGAAAAATCGCAATCTCAGGTGTGTCAAGATGATCCGCCGGGCGAAGCATGTGCCCGAACCTCCGGTGGAGCAGACCATCGTCGAACCATACGAGCCTCGGCTTTCGCAGAATTCGGCTGCCTTCGCGAATCCCAACCTCAAGAAGTTCCGCGACCTTGCAGCCAGTCGCGCACAGGTGCAGAGAGCCTTCGCGCCGTGGCACCGCAGGGACCGCTCAAGAGACACGTGATTGCGTCACTTAAGGGCAACTACACTCAACCCTAGCCGGAAGTGTGATCCCCAGCGCCTCAACAATCGGGATGCCTGGCAACTTTCGACTGCGGCGTAGTCCATTCCTGAGTCCCGGTGTGAGTGAGGCACGGTTCTGTTGAGAGACAGATGCTACTGTCATGTTCACCAAACGATGTCTTCACCTGCGTTTTGGATGCTGTTGCAAGCCCTATAGACCCCCGGAAATCCCAAAAACCAACCCCTAAACCAACATTCCACGCGAATGGGCCGGAGGAGCCGCGCTTCCTGGAGTGACTGTCGGACTCACTCACTTTGAAGAAAAGATGGTCGGTGCTGCCGGTTAGGTTTCTGGTCCATCGTCTTGCATCACCTGGATGTGCACAGTACGGCAACAGCTTCGCTTCGTTTCACCTGGAACGATCTTCCTGACAGGTCACGTTCGGCAAGTCGGGAGTGGAGAAGGTCTCCGGGTATGCTATAGCCGACAGCAGTCCCAGCAAAGAAATGCGTGTTTTCCCCATCAGGTGCATCCTATTGGCAAGCTGAACAAGTATGAGGAAGCGCCGGCTGTGTCCATGTCATGTTTCCGAGAGCTTCGCCTGTGTCTGCACGCGCATGCTGCCAAAAGGATGTTTAACCAGGTTTACCCCCGATAGTCTTTATATAGTAAGCTCAAGTAGTATCAGAAAGTACAGTACCTGTATCCGTATCAGTAGAATTACAAAGTGTGACAAGGAGCAACGGCTTGCGGAAGCCAAGGCTGCCTTGAAGAAGGTTCGGAGATCTTTAGCCTCCAGTGAGAGTTTGCTCTGATCCCCTTCCTTCGGAAAGGAGATTCAGTCCGGGATCGACTACGCAGCCACGACCAGCCTTGCATGATCTTGCAAGCTTCAGGCCCGGCAATGTCAGATTAAAAAGGGAGAGAAGTCATCTTCAGTGGCCTGGGCCTTTCAGTCAACATACAGCAAAGTTGTGGCTCCCAGGTGTTGTGCGAAGCCCACGCGGCGGCAATTGTTCTTGTGTGTCGAGATGACCTCAGAGCTCTGCTCATGCCTAAGTGTGAGATGTGCTGAGTGAGCCCTCGCAATCCGGCAGTCCAGCTGTTTCAAGCGCTGGACGAATCGCTTTATAGATTTGCTTTCCTATATCGCTGACATGAACGCTCTCAGCCACCAAGATGCTGAGACTATGCTTGCGGCAAAACGTTGCACAGTGCTCGAAGCGCGTCGCGAAACGTTCACAACTTTTTCAGTCCTTGCAGGAGCAATCCCGGTTGATGCGACGAGCAAACGACGAGAAGGAGCTACGTACCCAAGCCCAGGCACTCGGCCTCATCACGCTAAGTCCGATACACTACAAGGACCAGGAATAATAAGGAATAGGCGATAGATTGCAGGCAGAACTTGCCAGTGCACAGCAAGAACTGGCGATCTCGAAGGTGCTGGGGGGTGCAACTTGTGAATCATGCGCCGCCGTTTTCTGCATTTTGCGAGTTGACTGGCGCACCTTTCAAAGACGCATGTCAGGGAACTCTCTCCGCGCGGGAAGGCGAGTGCAAGCGCCTTCAGGCGGCGCCGAGAGTTGTGCGGAGTCGGCAGCCGCTTCGCTTGCAGCGCAGAGCCTTGAACTGTGGCATTGACCCTCGCCGGGAGGACAAGATCGGAGATGCTGTCGGTCAGCACGAGGAACTCAGGACTCTTGCACATGTAATCTGGCTGTCTGCAGAAGTAGGCCCCACTCCAAGAGAAGCTACTGCGTAGAAGACCTGACGAAAAAGATGGAAGGAGACTGCAGACAAGCCTTGAGCAGGCCTGGACCGGCTTCAGCTTTGGAGCCAAAGCAGCGGCTGCGTGTTCTTTGCAGCATCGAGTCGTTATTTTCAGCATACGACTGTAGATTTAAACAGTGCTAGTGACTGCTAGTCATATATGATGCAACAGTGAACCTTCGACGGTGTGCACCAGACTAGATACACGACTTGCAAGACAGTCATACGAGCTACCAGCTGAAGCCTGTGAATTTGTAACAAAAATTATGAGACCGAGTGGATCCTTAGGTGGTAGTGGCAGTTACCAGCTGTTGGAGGCGACCTCACGTGCGACGAATCTCAAGAGCGAATTGGATGCAAGGACTGTGTGAATGTGCCACATAGACTGGTCCATGGCACAGCATGACCTCTGACCTTTGTGGAAGACAGTTTGTTCTTGGATTCTTGCTGACTTGTTGATGACAATCGAAGCTTCACGCCACCGCCAGCAGGACAGCAGATTGTGTCCAGCTACGCGCAGAGGCAGAATCGACAGTTCAAGATTACAGATGGCGAATGCGCATGCAGATTCAGTCTGCACGCTCCGGTTGCCGAAAGGTGCAGCAGCAAGAGCGCCAAGCCGCCCTCAGATCTATGGAGGAGGTGCGCACAGCACCGTCAAGTGACAACCGATAGCCACGCATCTCGATCAATTTTGAGGAGGGCGCGAGATGGTGTAACTGTTTGTTTGTCCGTCTGCCTGTCCGTCTGCCGGTTGGGGGGGTGCACGGGTTGCCTGCCGCGTTCGGGAGCATCACAGTCTCGACACGTAGAGCGCAAACGTGTAAGCAAACAATTCTTGTCCTGCTTCGCAGCTGATCAACAGCAGATCCCTGCCCAGATTACAGGTCAGTTCCCTCATGTAGTAATTGCAGGCCCCATAAGAGGTCTGCTGATTAGGAAATTCGCAGATGTTGAGAAGAGTCTCTATGCATACTCTACAGTATGTTTTTGATCTAACCCTTTGCCACAGATTGCACAAAACGGGCACGGATCAGGACGGTTTCAAGTGCAGATTCGCAAAAGCTCAGTCGCTGTTCAGCAGGGTCGCAAGCAGGGTCATTTGTCAAGTCGCGTGCCTTCCCCGCCACTTGTCCTGACAATTGGCAGGGAAAAGTCGGAGGACATGTCACAAGCTGGCACCCTGATTTCGATTTCAGCCCAAACTCCAGAACTCTGAGTTTGTTCGTCAAAGGGCCACCACAACCTCTCCCCGCGCGCCATTACTAGCGACATCGAGGCTAGAGAGGTTAGGCAAACTCAACCCTCCACCTCCCTTCCAAGAAGATAGAGAAAATTAATTTAATTCAAACCCAAGGCCGGCCCAACCCATCACCCCCCCCTTCCACCCTCTCCCCGTCTCGTTCCAAGAAATTGGAGTTTTTTCGTATGTAATATTATCTTAAATCGATATCGGAAACGAATGATCATTTTCATTATTCTCCGAAATCGTAAACGTATCAATCAAAATGGTAATAAGCTGGTGTAATGCCTCGATAGAACGTCTTTGTTCAGTTTTCGACAGGGGTGAGTTCCGCTGGAGTCCTTTTGAGAAAGGCTGTTCCGAGGTACGCCCCGGCGACTCGTGGGTTCGCAGGTGGCTATACTTCTCAATGCGGCTCAAGCCACTGAGTGAGATGCATTCTGCACCAGGGAGATAAAGCAGGGAGCAGCTTTTGACTGAGCCGTCGGCTACAGAATTCAGACGCGATTGGATGTTCCCAGCAAATACCGGATTTCCCGTGCAAATTGTCGATGCCGATGGCTCATCCTGCGCGGCGTTCAGTCTGGCATTCATTATGACCAACCAGCTGCTTGCCAGACATGTGCGTCATTGCAGCATGCGGCCTTCATCCCCAGTTGGAGAGAGCACACCGAGCATCAATTCTGGTGACGTCTAAATGCAGGCTGCTCAACCGTGTACGAACGGTGTGGTGCAGGTGGTTCTGCAAGACGAAACATGCTTGCAGTTGCCACGCGAGCTGGCGCATGCCTCGAGAATGCTTTCTTCCATCGAAGGCTTGTTCACAGAAGCGCACGAAGGTCGTGACGAAGATGATGCAGATCCTCTATACCTGCCCAGTTCTGCTGGTCTGACGGCCGCAGGCATTGGCCGCTTGTGCCATTTTGCTCTCCTCAAGGAGCTGCCAGAACAGTGGCCTTCTCAGGAAGCTTCTGAGTTTGTGCGGGCAGCCTGCTTTCTGGATGTTCCGCCCGCCATTGAAGCGGCCACGCTCGCTCTTGCTAGAGAACTGCTGGAATGCAACAGTCCCTCTGATGTTTTTTTGCTTGCCCGCGTGCCGGAGTCCAGTGGTCCAGCTTTCACCGACGAGGAGCGACAAGACGTGCAGGCATTGGCGGTTCTCGGTCCGACACTTGGACTCATCGGCGAGGTTTTCGTGCAGCTCACCTGGGCAAGCCGTGGCTTGCTGCAGAATCTCTCTACTGACTTCTTGCGTGGTGTAGTGCTTGCCGCCGAAGGGCACGCGATTCAGTCTCCGGAGATGCAAGATTTGGAGCGGAGCCGCAGACCTGGGCGAGGTTCGACCAAGAGGAAGCGCGCGGCTTTGCGTGCAGTTGCCAAAGAACGTTATCGTGGAAGCTTGACGATCGCCCTCGAAGTTCTTGCATACTTGGGGGATGACGAGCCTGATGTGCGAACAGTCTCCCTCCAGGTATTGTCACAAGTTGTCCCAAGAGAGCACGAGATGCTTGCTTTTGATGTTGATCCTTTCGTGGAAGCAGCGATAGGTGCTCTGGCAGACTCGTCATCACTTGTGCGGCAAAGTGCAGCAGAGACGTTGGCATATTGGTCACCTTTGGCAGCCGGATTTGTCCAGCGGCTTGAAGGCATGGTTTTGAAGCACAGCGGCCGAGTCAAGGCCACTACTCTACGAGCCTTGGCGACTGCTCAAGTCGTGGCCACGGCAAAGACGGTCCAGTTGGCATTATCCTGCTTGGAAGATACTGACAGCCATGTGCAACTGGCTGCTGCCGATGCTTTGGGTTCCTTCGTCCTTTCAAACAAAGAAGAGTCCTGGAGCATTTTTGGCAGAATACGCCAAAAGCTGCGAGCAAGACGCGCTTCCGTGAAGTGCGCAGCTGCCGGGGCCTTGCGTCGTGCCATGCCTGTCCTGGGAGCCAAGTATCCCGAGTATTCAGAAACCATTGCCGACTTGATCGGAGCTTTGCTGTCCGACCCATCTTCAGAGGTACGTTGTGCCTCTGTTGGCACCCTAATGGCTGTCGATGGTGACATGGCCATTAACGAAGCTTTCATTCAGGCGCTTCAAGACCCACACGACACGGTGTGCAAGGCTGCGTGTGATGGGCTGGTTGCATCAGCAGATCCAACCCAGTGGCTGAGCCTTGCAGTGATGCTGGCTCCTCTTCTCTGCAGCCCGGTGGCACGAAATCGGTGTGTTGCACTGGAGGCCCTGCACGAACTTCTGAACAAATACGCCCTTCAGCTGGGTGATGGAGGTTATGTCACCCGGGAAAGCGATTGCGATGCTTATGACAGCCCGGTGATGGCATCGTTGGTACCTCGACTCCTCGACACTGATGGCTATGTGCGTATTGCAGCTGTAAAGACCTTTGGCTGCCTTGCAAGACTTTACGGTCCGCGCAAGGACTATGCTGACCAGCTTGCATGCGTCGCGGCCACGGATGACGACGACGACGTGAAATCCATGGCTTTACAGGCACTGTCCGTTGCTGCACCTCGGGGAGATCCCGATGCGGCAGCCACGGCTGCGGACGCTTCACGAAGCCCCTCGCCGCAGCTGCGCCGGAGCGCCTTGCTTGTGCTTAGGCATATGATGTCTTTCAACAAGGATGTGCTTGCTGCAGTCTGTGAACGGATTTCGGACGTCGACGACGGTGTGCGTCGCTTGGCCATGGACTGTCTGCCGGACATCTTACAGGGGGAGGACTCAGCTGGGGTCATGGCCGCACGAACGCTTGGGCTGGTTGCCCGAAGTCAGTCGTCATCAGACCAGACCGTGGTATGTGCTCTGGAAGCACTTGCACGCATTGCTCAGGCAGGAGGGCCAAATACCCGCGCAAGTGTCATGTCTCCAGTACTCGCATGTTTAAAAGACGACAACTGGATCGTGAGAGAGGCCGCAGAGAATGCAGCGTGCGCAATGAACATGACAGTTCCTGCGGCGAGAGCCCCCAGAGGGCGTAGCAATTCGTCCAGTAGCTCCGGATCGACGCAATGCAGCGCCGAGCGTGGCGACGTTTCACCGCTCCGAAGTCGGAGCAGGTCTCGAGAAGCACTTGTAAGGCTTGGGAGATCCAGAAAGGCCCGACTCAGACTCGAAGCGGCGGTGCACGATACCAGTAGTGCGCGATGGTGCATGAGAGCTTCTATGAGCACCTGCAGGCCTCCCTCAAGGCCGAGTTGGACACATGGCGTGCAGAATGCGACCGCTGGCAGAGCGAGGCTGCTTCATGCATGGATCCGCGTGAGTCACGGTCTTCTTTTTGTAGGCAACTCAGTCCGACGTGCCGAAGATGAAGGCCTTGCTCGAGGAGATCTTCTAATGCCATGACTGTGCAAAAGCACATCGCACTTTTCTTGCATGCATATGTGAGAGGACATATGTACGTTTTTGGGTCAGGTCTGTTCGTTCGAGGTATCTCGTGTATCTTCGCATGTACGTCCAGTGTTCCGCCCCGGTGGTGAGCAGGAGGAGAAAGCCAGCCTGAGCGGCATGAAGGCCGAGGCACTGCATCGGCTTTGGTGCCTTTCATCTTGGCGATCAGTTGAAGTACACGTGCTACCTCGAAATGTTTACTACTCGGATAGTCATGAGTGATGCTTGAGCAGAGAAGGCTGCGGAGACAATGGCGCAATGCAAGGCTCAGGTGAACTTGCACTTCCGCTGTCAAGCGTACCCTCGTTGGCGCACGGCGCATGCGAGGCTGCAGCAGCTGCGGCAGAGCTGGAGGCGCGATCGAAGGAGTTCGGTGCTGAGACTGTCAGCTCAAATCGGTCAGATGCAACAACTACGAAGTGCAGCGAGATTTGTCCAGGTGCGGGCGGCTGCGAGCAGAGCTCCGGGCATGCAGGAAAGGGTGGCTTGTGGCTCGCAAACGATGCCGCGACGGCCTCAGCTTTCCCAAAGCTGCTGTGATGCAGGCCGAGTGGTGCCCTCCCACAGGACGAGGCCGCAACCCGTCAATGCAATGGGACTGGAAATGTAAAATTGCCGAGAGGTGCGGGAGCTCGTCTCGCTCCGCGCAAGGGTCCTGGACCTGGAAGCCGAGGCGCGAGTCTCCGCGAGTCTCAGCTGCCGCTTCCAAGCTGAGCCGTCGTGAGGTGGAAGCGATGCACCAGGCGCCTTGCAAAGCTCAGCGGGCCCCAGTGGCTGTCGGTCTCTGACTCTAAGGCTCAAAAGCCGGCTGCCGACCTCGAAGAGTCCAAGACGCTGCGCTCCATGGTCAAGGACTGGTGGCCATGCGAGCCTTCCCATCCTTCAACGGGCAGTCGCTGACGAAACCGTGGAGACTGGACGGTCACAGCGGTTCCCTATCGACGCCGTGTCGGCTGCACGAAGGACCGCGACGACACAGTCTCGCGACTGAGAGCAGCTTCGAGCCCAGTATTGCGCACGGTTCTTGATGTCTCAGTCGAAGGAGTCTTGCTGCATACCTTTGATCGGTGCATCAGGTGCATACGCCACGCACTAATTATGGGCTGCATGCCCGAGGTATGTTGGCCCAATTTCCGTTTCTGCGTCCCAGTACAGTGAGCATCAGTGAGCACAGCCTAGTCGCAGTTGATGCCGTTGCGGGTATTGCTGGATCATATCATATCAACAACCATAGGAGACTGCTCTTGCACAGCTACATCGCAGATCCTTGAAGTCTGAAGAGGCAACACTAGTGATACTAGTGCGAGCATTCGCTCTCATCTTAGCTTGTCGAATGTTCGATTTCGGCGATTTGAGCGATGCCGAAAGCGTTGATGATTGTGACACAGGAGCGTGCCCGGAAGAAGTCCAGCAGCAAAGACAGCCAGATCCCAATGGCACACTTGCACGAGGAGATGTCGTGAAAGCTCGTTTCCAGCAGGGATGCTGGTATTTGGCAGCTGTGATTGGGCAAAATCATGACGGCTCTTACACCATTGCTTGGAAAGATGGGGATGACAGTGATAGGATAAAGAACAGTGGCGAGATGGTGTACATCAGGCCAGGAGATACCAAGTCCGCGCGATGGATCCAACACTACCCGCAGCACAGACCCAACGCAAGGCAGGCACCGCAGGCAAGGGCCAATCCCAGGCCCCACACGACGGAGGACGCGGGCTACACTTCCAGAAGGCACGAAGCGGGTCGAGCAGAGACTGAGGAGCCTGGCGATGCAGAAAAGAGAAAATGGAAGGACTGGGAAGCACAGCAGCAACGCTTCAGGGACGAACTGCTAAAGCGAGAAGATCAAGAAGATGACCGATGGCTCGCAAACAGAATGGCAAAATTGCAACAAGAGCTGAGGGATATAGACCAGTTGGCCCCTGCCGCTCGCAAGGGGCGACTACGTAAGCTGCAGCTTGAACTGCATCCAGATAAGCAGCCCGAGCGACTACGTGCGAAGTGCCAGAAGCTCTTCTTAATAGTGCAAGGCAGGTGGGAGGCACACGAGGCAACTCTCCAACGTGAGGCCAATCAGAGAAACCAGGACGAAGAGCGCGCTCGCGCGGCGCGGGAGGAGCGGCAGAGGCGCCAGCGCAGCCAGGAGGAGCGGCAGCGCAAGCATCGTGAAGAGCAAGAGAGGGCGGAACGTGAACGGGCCGAACGGGAGGCAAGGAAGAGGCAAGAAAAAGAAGAAGAGGACAAAAGGAGGAGGAATGCTGAAAGCCGTGCGCGGCAAGCGGAAGACGAGCTGAGGCGATTTAAAGAGGCTGCGGCCAAGCAGCGGAGCAAGCAGCGCAGCGACACAAGTGATTGCCCTGAGAAGCCAGCTGGTCCGACGGACAGGACCAAGGCACAAGCAAAGCAAGACTCTGAACGAGACGATCACTACACCAAGGCAGGTTTGTACCGCCAGAGGTGCGAGGAGGCAACCCATGATGATGCACCTTTCATTTCTCCGTCAGAGCAGCGGCAGCAGAGCCATGCCAAGCCTGCTTCTCCTGGCAGGTCACGCAAGCAAGGGACGCCTAAACCTTCAGAGTTGCACATCCGTGTTCGTTTGAATGGTAGTGCGCAGCAGGAGAAATTCTGCGTGCCAGCTTCGGCGACCGTTGGCGATATCAAGAACAGGTTGGATGAAAGAGGAGTCGTCACATCTGCTCAGAAGATTTTCTGCGGTGACAGGGAGCTCTTCGATTTCGAAACGCTTAGCACTTTGCTTTCGACAGGCAACTCCTTAGATTTGGACATAGTGCAAAAGTTCCCAAAAGGTCTTGGCTTTGCAGAGCAGGTCCGCAAGAATTGGCGGATGCTGCAGCATGCACCGCCCGAGCTCCGATCCGACAGAGAGCTCGTCTCGGAGGCCGTGGGCCAGAGCTGGGAGGCTCTAAAATTCGCTTCGGAGAAACTCAGGGCCGACAAGAATCTCGTTCTCTCTGCAGTGGAGCAGGATGGCCTGGCGGTGGAGCATGCAGCTCCCTGCATGCAGAAAGACCACGACGTCATGTTGGCTGCTGTAAAGAAGACTTGGAAGGCTCTTCGATATGCGCAGCCCGCCTGTACCGACTATGACATCGCAGTAGCTGCCGTTCAGCAGAACTGGCGCGCCCTGCAACATTTGGGATCCCAGCTTCGGGACAAGAGGGAGCTGATGGAGATGGCCGTGCAGCAATCGGGCCTCGCCTTGAAGTACGCCTCGTCTCGCCTGCAGCGGGATAACGAACTCGTCCTCCAAGCGGTTCGCCAAAACGGCGCTGCTTTCGAGTTTGCGGCCCCGGAACTGCGCTGCGACCGACAGTTCGTCCTCGCCGCAGTGTGGCGCAATGGAGATGCTTTCCGCTTTGCCGATCCCGATTTGAGGGCCGATAAGGAGATTGCCTTGGCGGTGGTGGATGGGACTTAGAGATCTGGCTCGGGACGTGCGGTCGCTGCATTCCATGGAACAGCCCGCAACCGTTGGACAAGGACAGGGAGATGGTTTGCAGCCAGCTCGTGGACGAGAAGGTGCCATTTGGGAGCTTGTGAGCTCCGGAGGAAGCTGTCCCGGAAGCTTCCAAAACCTCCAAGCCGTTTATGTGCAAAGGACTTTCCGGCACTTCCCCTGTGCGTGACCCTTATGGACACAATCTGCTCCTGCACCCCGCTCGGCGGAGCACAACAGAACCTGGCCAACGACTCCTTGCCTGCGCATGGGCCGTGAAAAAAGCACTTGCCAGAGCACTGGTCGCTAGCTTTGTTGTGTCCCTCTACTGCAGCCAGAAGCCCGCTTTCGTCTTCGCCAGGACTTGGTGCATGCTTCTGCCCGGCACTGCAAAGAAGTGGAGGCCGAGAGCTCTTAGTGGCTCTTGACCCGAAGAGCCGCGATCTCTCGCGTGCAGGAGCTCCAGGCCAAAGTGAATGAAGCTCGCTTGGAAGAGAGGCCAGGAAGCCGAAGCTCTCAGCTTCGATCATGAGAGTGATAGTGTTGTAGACACCCGGGGTTGCCCAAACAAATGGTAAGTTACTTATTGGGGCGGTGCTTCACTTGTTCTGCATGATGGGTGCACCATCCTGCGGAACGAAAAGGGTCCCGTAGTATTCCTGGCTATCAGGCAACTTCGGCACGACGACAATGGCTTCGTCGTTTCCGATCTGAAGGCCGATCGAGAGCTTGAAGACGACACTTTCGGGCGTACAAACTTCCTCGGAGGCGCAGCTTCGCGCAAGAGCATCCGAAGTGGAGCAGCTGCACTCCGAGGCCAGCGGTGGCATGTGTCGGACAGCAAGGCATCGCGAGATATCGTGAGGTCAGAGCTAGCATGAGCGAGCTCGAGCGCACTCGAGCAGAGGCTCGTCATGCCGAGGCCACTGAGTCAAGACTTACTGCATCCGCAATTGCTGCTTCTTTGCTTGGGGCTTTCTCAGGCTAGAGCAGCTGCGCGAGAGATCTCCAGTGTGGAAGCAGCCAAGGCATCAGCCTTCTTCATGACCTTTTCCATCACATTTCTTTTGCTTGTAGAAGGAATGTCCCTTGTCTTGAGGTGATGGTCACCGACGACTGGAAGCGCGAAGTGGACCGCTTGCAGGCAGGAGCTGAAAAAGCATCAAATCGCCAAAGCATCCAACCCACAGTTTAATGAAGCCGTTCTGAATCTCCTGGAACCGTCATCAGTAGTTTTGTTCCCCTCCGTGAGTTGCGGCTTCAGCATCGATTGTGTTTCTGCTTGTAGCACACAGATGCACACAGCATATGTCTCAGCCAATGTGTGTCAATGAAAGGTGGAGCTACAAAAGAGCGCCGCTGATATCGCTGCGGCCAAAGAAAAGGCCCCCCGCCCCACACACCGGGGATCAGCAGCTCTCTCGTGCTGGCGCGCCATTCCAAACACGGCTCGGTGTGAAGGCTGAAAGGGCCAACCGAGAGGCAGGTGACCTCTCCATCAGTCGTTGAGTCGTTGCTGTGCACCATCCGTGTATCGAATGGTGCCTAGCACGAGCTACCCGAAACTCTGTAGGTTCGCCGCCTGCAGCAAGAGGAGAGCAGAGTAGCGAAGAGCCAGGAGGCCAGGGTCGGATACTTTGCGTGTCTGAGCTTCGCAAAAGCGCTGTTAAGACTACTACAGGCATTGCGAGGAGAACTGGAGCAGGCCAAAGCATGCAGCAGATATGCTGTGCCAAGAGCCTCGGACACTGTGAGGCACAAGACAACAACAGAGTCATCCGGGAGGAGATGGCTGATGCCGAACATCGCTGCGAGGAGTCCTGTCGGTTGCAAGCTCTGCGCTAGGGGAACGCCAAGCCAGCTGGTCCATGATTCGTGCAGGATGCGCGTTCCATGGTGCGAGCAGAACGCACCAGCCGCACCCATGCCGAAACGCAGGCAGTTGACTGGGCTGCAGAACTTGGCGAGGTTGTGGCAGACAGCACCTGCCCCTGAAGGTGCGAGAATACCAACGAGAAGCAAGAGCCAGGGTCCCACCACGGCTTGCTTCAGATTGCAAGCTGGGCGTGCCCGCTTAACCTGCAGAGTAGCCACATGCGAGGCGCTCAAGGCTCAGCTGCAGGAGAGGGCTCGACACTCAAAGGTTGCCATGCGGTGCCATCCTAATCTCCTAATACTCCGGCTAGCCCCGGCCCTGCGCCTTCTCAAGCCACTCGAGGCTGCCGAAGCCGAGAAGTTCCGAAGTGAGGCAGAAGCTTTTGCTCTTCTTGGCTTAAACTTTATAAGAGTTATAGCATTTTTAGCATTTGGTCAGGCGAGGAACAAGAGCTACCAGCTTGAAGATAAGGAGCTGGAAGTTTCCCACTTGCAGGAGCATACTGCCCCGATGTGTCCGACCAAGCTGGCGATGTGAAACTCTCGCTGAAGGACCAAATCCAGTTCCTAGAAGACCAATTGCGAGCACGCCGCCGGGATCTGGCGGAGAAGGAAAGACTTTTGCAAATGCAATCGGAGCGTCAGTGGCTGCGTTGCTGGTGTGTGCTGAGTGTAATAGTACCTTGCAGGAGGACTGGGAGGCTCAGACGATTCAGAAAGTAGCGGACCGAGATGTTTCGTGTTTCGCGAACTGGCTTCAACTGGCGCACCGAAACGCCTTGCAGCTGTTTGCTAAGGACGGACCCCTGGACATCACAGGCGCCTGTCACCGCAAAGCCGAGTGTCAATGATAAGGATAAGAGAGACGAGTCTTGACTTGTGCGCAGAAAGCTGTCAGCTGTTATCAAACTGTTGCATGGGTGTGACATGCAATGCATGTCGTAGCCCTCAAACCCTAAAACCGAAAGCGTGCTGGTTCCAGCTGTTGTATTGGCTCCTGCATGGTGCAGGCTTAAAAACCGCGGTTGAGCTGTCACAGCTATCCCAAGCTCAGGCGGGGTGTATACGGGACTTCCAGCAACTGGCCAAAGGCCTCGCTCCGATGTTGCAGGGGATGGGCGATCTTGAAGTGGAAGAACAAGATGCAACGCTCTCACCTTGTGATGTCACCAGCTCGGTTGCAACAAAGTTACTCGGGAAGCCGATGCCATTCCATTGCAATGAGTTTCGAATCAAGGCAGGGGTTCCGACCGACGGCCGGCGCCTTGGGTGCGCTTCGTTTGTGCTTTGGATTTGTTCTTTGCGTGGAAGGAAGCGCGCCGCCAAACTCTCCGGTGCAGGCCAGTTGCTCGGCATAGCTCAGCCTGCAGCATTGCTCGAGTGATGAGCTGTCCCAGCACAGAACGGTCTACTCCTGCTTCAAAGCTGGAGGAGAGAGAAGATATGTCGCCACCGGCTGCATGGTGGACACCTCAGAAGTCTTTCGGCAAAGGCATGTCCACGTCACAAATCACATGTCTTGCAACGTCTTGCATTCATGAACCCCACGAGCAGATGAAGACTGCAAACCTTAGCGGCCTTAGCGCTGTGTCACATGCCAGCCCTGAAGCTGAGAAGCGGACGGATGTCCGCAAGCAAGGGTGTAGAGCGCAACACGTTGCGACCGTCAGAATCACCTCAACCTGCTTCCGCTGCTGGGATGCCTACTGGCCTACTTTACTTGGTAGGACATCTTTGGACATCTACTCTATTCTTGCGTCGCCCTCGGTGTACACATGTGGAACTGTTCCTCTGAGCCGCTGTCCCCAGTCAAATGAACAAATCAGTACACAGGCTGATGCCAGGGTGAATGTTGATATGCAGCAGGATCATCGGACAAAACCAGTAACCACTCGCAGCTGCACATAAGCACTCATGACGGGAACATGCTGTGCACTGCTGATATTGTGACGTTGGGGCTACAATATGGCGATCTACAGTTCCATGGAATGGACAACGAAGCGCCCTGTAACTGCTGTTCAAGGGCGGCCAGTGCACAAGCAGCCGCTGCCGCCCTCTGCAGGCAAGAAAGAGCAGAAGAAGAGGTTCCGCTCTTTCTCTTGCCTCAACGTCTCCATCCCGTAGTTGGGCATATGCAGGCTCGTGCCGGAAGCCCACCAGGCAGCCATCGTCAATCTCAAAGAGATGCACGCATGCTTGGTCCTGAAGGGATCAACAGTACACCGATTCAATCCCCGTGCAGGGGCTGAAGCTGCGGCAGGATGCGTCCCGGATGAGGATGGATGGGTGATGCTGTCTCCGCTTTTTTTGTGCACTTGCCAATTGTTTTTCTCCGTTCCAGGCTTTGCGTGGTGCTTTAATGATCTCATGATCCAAGCAGGCTGCGGCTTACTTGCAAGCCAAGCGCAGAGAGCCAGCAGCTGAGAATCCAAGCAAACGGGATGGCAAAGTTTTGCCGCTCAGGCTGCAGAAGTTGAAGTCTTGGGAACGGACTTAGTGCTTAGGCTCCAGACGGAACACATGACAGTGGAGAGGCGCATGCTGGCTGCATTTCTTCCTCTTCCCTCTGCCGAAGACCCCGCGACCGTCAGGTTGAGGCATCAGTGGAAGCAAGACGCGTGCTGCGGGCTCTCTTTGATCTTGCTGCATGCTGTTTCAATCCTGAACTCTGAACTCCACAGCTTACATCGTGGCCCTCTGTGAGATCACTTGACTTGTGCCAGGGACCGGCTTCGCTCTGTCAGTGGCATGGCACGGGAGCAGGCCTTGCCCAGCACGTCGGCTCAGATGCGAGGTGTTCAAAGCAAGCATCCGGCATCGCAGGTCCTGCTCCAGGAAGCTTGCACTGCCCTAGGCGACCGGGCTGCTGCGCTCCAAAGGCAGCACAAGCTCAAACTTAGCTTTCGGGGAGCAAGCGCCTTCTCCACTGTGAGAGGTTTACTGTAGCACATCCCCGTTCTTCCCCCATGTTGCTTGTCCTGCAGGGCCTTGGCAGAGCACAGTGCTTTGGAGCAAGCTCTGCATGCAGGCCAGGATGTGATCATTTGGATGGTCTGAGCGATCTCGGCAGCCAGGTACTCCCGAAGGAGATTACATGGCCTTTCCAAGAACATCACCCCCTGCCCCGCCCTCGGTCAGTCTTGTGCCTACGGCCCCTACTTACACCGATTCGCCGCAGGCGTTGGGTATCACTGGCAATCCTACGAATGTCCTGAAGGCAAGCTCCGCAGAGAGCACGAGTCTGCTCTTTCTTCGTGTTGGCATTATAATATAACAGAACATAACATAATATAACATAAAAATGTCATCCTCCCATTCCTGTGACACGGTTTTCGTTGGACAGTCGGAACTATGCCGGCCTCGGCCTGGAAAGCTTCCTCCTCTGAGTAGACACCCCGCCCCGCCTTTGATTCAAGCTAAAGCACGTTCCCAAAAATCCACCTGAAATCATCCCCACCCGTTGGAGCGATCCTATTTTGGACTTGTAGAGGCTCAGGGCTCAAAACGACTGGGGATTGCGCGATAATGCATGATCGTAGCGTAGATCTGCTTCCGCCTCCCATGGGACTCCGTTTTCTCCACGAGGCACGCAGCGACTCCGGTGATACGCCCAGGTCGACAGCCCAGCTGTTGCTGTATGCAGGCCTTCCCATAGTCGCGCCCCCGAAGAGCCACCTCCAAGCCTGCCGAAGATTGGGGCACCCGACCCCTCGAGAGTGAGGGCAAGAAGGGTGTCAGTGTCTACTTGATGAGTCTAACGTCATCCCATCGTTTTGCTTCCGCACTGCTAGGTCTTCGACAGGAGGACGACCTGGGCATAGCTCTTCTGGACTCGACTCTCAGACAGTCGAAGTGCCGCCAGGACACCGGCAAGACCGGGACCGATACCCCACGACGGCTGCCGAGGTCGCCGCTGTACATCATGCGCAAATTAGTGGGCTTCTGTCTGGTGGTTTCGGAGGACTTGAGCATGCTGCGGCGCTGGCTCTTCGGCTGGACTTTGCTGCAGCTACGTGGCGTCGGTGTGAGTCACAAGCACAAGAATGACTGTCATCTGAGGCAGCATCTGCTGGGTCAAGATGTTCTTGGTACGGGCTACAGAAGGCCGGCCGAAGTAAAGTCGTGAAGAGAAGAATCAAGGGGAGGGACACAGAGAGGGAGAGAAGGTGGCTAGGGGGGCTTCCCTCTGGCCCACAGCCCCGGCGAAAGAAAGAGGGTGCGCGGGCATCCTTGCCCTTCTCTCTTCACACTGACATTGACATCCTTTCGAAGAAGAGGATAGAAGAACTCCGCTCTAGTAAACCCAGGCAGCATCTCACGCATTCGAAGAAGAGAGCTAGGCGAGCCTCAACCGGAAGAAGCAAAACCGAGAAGAAGGGCGGTGTTGGACGTTGACGCGACAAAGCACCATCTTACCCAACAGCGGAGGCCGAGCCATCCAGCCAGAAAAAGCACTACGACTAATAAGTCGAAATGGTTACCTTTTCCGGAAGTGTTCCGAGCCTTCTGACAGAGAGCCCAAGATGGTTTGTTGTTCGACAACCTTGTAGCACATCCGCGCGCTTCCCAAAAGGAATATAAGACCCCGGTAAGTCGAAGCGAAGCTTTGACTGCCTCCCACAGAGAATAAGGCTCTCTCTCTCTCTCTCTATGTCTCTCTCTGTCTCTCTCCATCTTTCCTGGCTCCTAAGGACTAAAGCAGTTCCGGGTCCCCCCATGCTTTTGCCAACACGGTATCCACTCACATACGCGCACACAAACGAAGGTCCTCATGGCCAATTCGGGGGATCGACAGCCGAGCATTCTGATGTATCATACAAGTTGTCTGTTTCCACAGGTCGGAATCATGACATCGATTTTTCCCGAAACGACCATCATGTGGCCTGGAGACGGTAGACGCAGCATGTCTTTGGTGCAGCTCCGTCGACATGGCTTTGGCATTGGGTAGAAACGGGTAGAAGATACACAGAGACCTTGGCACCGTATGTTGCTCTGGACGTCGCTGGAGCTGTTGGAGGCTACAAAGATTCGGGCTTTGTCCACTGTTAGTGTCAGCCGCACAAGTTGAAGGTGTGTAAGCCTCTGGAAAGCCATGAAGTGACCTTGAGACATGTTTTATCGAAGCTTGTTAACGCTAGAAAGATGTTGACGCCGCAAACACAGCTGCCGTGGTCAGGCTTCCTCTGACGGCCCGATCCACCTCGCGAGGCGCTGGCGAGCTGTGAGTTAGCCAAAGAAGGGCCAGAAAAAAGACCTAAGTTAATGACAAGACCTTCAATCAGCACTGTTTCTCAACCCACTGCAGCGCTCTCACTGCTGGCAGGGGCAGTCAGCGCGAGATCCACCTCGCCGCTGCGCAAGTTTGACAGCCCCGGGCTTAGCTAAACCCCTTTTCCCAAAAAATCGCCGGGGCGCTTCGCATTTCGCTTCGCAGAGGCCGCAGGAGCCGAGTCTCCAGGGAGGCAGGGCCGGGGGGAAGAGCTTCTATACGATAATATAATGCAATACAATATAATATAATATGATAT